CTCTTCATCAGTTCGAAAATAAGAAGTTTCAAATGAAGAAAGCTTTTCAGTGATTTCATTCTCACTAACTATACAGTCGGTGGCACAGTGGTTAGGACTCTCGCCGACCATGCACATGGTCCGGGGTTCGATCCCCTGCCGGCACACACCCGATATCTATGGTAGGCCTGCAAAATTTGGGCTACCGATATCCATGCTGAAAATTCCATACTTGTACTGAAAATACGGTGTGGCATCAAGCTGTAATCAAAAATTAAATTAAATTCAAAAAATAAGTTAGCATGCATAGTTAATTATTATTTAGTTCGATATTGGTGATAAAGTGAGATCTAACTCTGTACAGAATCATATTATTAGTGTCATACATGCGAGGAAGAAAGTCGCGCAACCAGCTTGCATTTTTAGACATACAGTTATGAGTCGAAGAGATTATGGCTCAGTAAGCCGATCAACCTACAGAAAGCCCACTTGGACGGGGCAATACCCTAATTTTCACAGTTTCTGTCCATTACAGTATAAGAGAGGCTTGGTGAAGTGTCTATTTAAGAGGATTCAGCGCATTTGCACGGCTGATGTTATAGACAAAGAAAATGAAATATTGACGGATACTCTTGTTGAAAACGGGATAGCCTTTAACATTTTTAAACAGGTGTAGAAGTCAACTAGCCTCTAAACCTACAAATCTATACCGCCCCTAAGGAAAAGGTTTTCGTCAAATTACCATATAACGGGGAAATAAACAATAGGATTTTGAGACAAAGGTGTTGAATTCGATCATCCGTAGAACCTATTATGCCGCTCAGCTTGTAATTGTCGAAAAAGCTAAAAAAATGCTCCACTGAAAACCTGAAAAGTGCACTAGTAATTATGTCACATCGCACACTATATACCAATTTTCATGTGTGTATGGACACATAGGGAGGAGTAATTGCGCTCTGCATGTGAGTTGGGTGAGTCAGCGATCACATCCCAAAATGGTTAGAAAAACAAATGAATTGTGAAAAACCAATAGATGCAGGTGTCAGACTACCAACTTCGTCTATAGCTAAACATCTAATCGAGATGAACCATAAGGTTGATTTTACAACTCAGCCTTTAAGGTCAGCTTTAAAAAATGGTCAAGAGCGCTTATTGAAATACGCCGAGGCTATAGCTATTCATAAACTTAAGCCCCCCTCCCATCCGCTGTGTATTCAAAAACAGTTTATTATTACTCTTCACCCACCTACCATGGTAATCCTTATTTGATTGGATTAGCAAACGTTGTATTAATCATTCTTAAATCTTTTTGTTTTGTCACTTTGTTTAATTTAATTGTCCTCTGTATTTTTTCATATATATCGACTTGACAAGTAAATGTGTGAGGGATCAGATTGTTGTTCAAATTGTTTAGCGCAAATACACCACACCACATTGTTTTTCCGATAATCTCCGTCTCCTAATAATGCTATCCAAGTTAAAAAGTGACAACTATTTACAAGCTTAATTTCACCTCTGAGTAAAGAGATATTTAGATAAAGCAGCAATAAGAAGACGTAATTTGTCTGTCTGAATCGTGTGTGTAATGTGCAGATTTGCGCAACACATTTCGAACAATCTGATCCATCACACACACACACACGGACTTGTCATAGGAGTACATTTATATGAAATTCATTAAGAGTTAAGAGGTGGGTGAGAAAACAGACTTGACTACTTAGGTCAAGTTAAAAGGAGGACATACTGAAGCTCAAAATAACAATGAAGATCAATCACTAAAGCAAATAACAGAGGTAATAGTACATCTACCCTGGTTGATAACAAAACAAAGTTTACCAACAAGGAAGGAACGTTTAGTTAGTGTGATGACGAATTGCTGCTTTGAATGCATAAAGGTGGTTTAACCTTCCTAACTGCCAGCTAGGGCTAGCTTCCACAAACCTTAGGATACGCCCTCCCCCAAAAACACGCTTTCATAGATAGCTTTAAAAGATGTGTTATTTAACGTCAATTTTATGTCCTGTCTCCTCTGTAATATGTTTCGCAATAGAGGAGCTAGCTAGGTCTTCGTCTCTTCTCACCATTAATGGGTACTGAAGATTCCATTTGCAGAGATCGATGAGTCCTCCCTATGCATGTGTTTGTGTGCCGACACGCACATTCAAATTGGTAAATACAGTGCGATGTGACATCATTTTTCTCATGTTCAAAGGGCTTAGATGGATGGATGGATATATTGGCTTCACATTCTCAATTAAACATTTTTAACAGCAGCGTTCAATCATTGTCTAGTTATCAAGCTGCTATGATGCCCCACCCATAAAGGGTAGCTTGATGTACACGTCTTTCTCAGAGGCGAGTTGTAGAGTGAGTGGGTCTTGGTGTTCCACTGACTATTTTATATCTCCTGATGAACTTGTTTGTCTGGATAATTGTTATCACCAATCAGAGTTCGTGTGTCAAATTTCTTTCTTTCTTCCTCATCGTTATCAAGTGTGTCTGTCTGTCTATCTCCAGTGCATCTTCGTTGGATTTTACCTCTTCTCATTGCTGCTTTATGTAAATTCATAGAGGGAACTAACAATTCCCATTGTAGCATCAAGAACACAAGATGTATTCAGCGAAGAGACTCTTTTCAACAACGAATTTATCATCAAGCTGTACAATCGTATATATATGGTTTTGTATTTTAAGAAGTTATATCCGGTGTGGGAATTAAATCATAGGTCTGAGTGAATGCATAAAATAATGATAATAATAGTATGAAATGCAATTAAAACTAAAATGTTTGTGATTATAATCGTAGTTAAATGTCAAGTGGCAAAACAATTAATACCATGTACATAGAATAATTCATAGGATGGATAGAACTTGAAAAGGGGCGTGCAATTATAGGATTAGTGGACAACACATCGAATAAAATAAAAACGTTACGCAATATTGTGTGAAATTTGATAGCATAGAATTTAACGTTGTAAAAAAGAAGAATTGATTTAGAATGACAAGTGAAATAATACCGGAGACAGTTCAAAGTGAGAATAGTAATAGTAGTAACAATTGACATTGCAATAAAGGAAGAGAATACAAATTGAATAGACGAAATGAAAAATCGGTAGTGCTAAAATATGATTGGGGATTACCATACTTTAGCATATAGAGGGATTAAGACCATGAAAGTTCGAGAGGTTGAACGAACTTTTTCTGTACACAGAGATCTGGTTTCTTATTGTCCCCGGTATTATTTCACTTGTTCCACTTGTCATTCTAAATCATTTCTTCTATTTTACAACATTAAATTCTATGCTATTAAATTTCACACAATATTACGTACCGTTTTTATTTTATTTTATTCGATTTGTCTACTAATCTTATAATTGCACACCCTTTTTCAAGTTTTATCCATCACATATAGAATAATGCATAAGATGGATGTGTAGATGTTGTTGGAAAGGGGTACATAATTATAGGATTAGTAGGCGAATGTAAAATGTTACATAACTTGGTGTGAAATTTGATAAGATAGAATTCAATATTGTAAAAATAAAAAATTAATAATTTTGGGTTTAGAATGTCAAGTGGGTCAAGTAGAAACGATTCAGAGTGAAAATAGTAATAATAATAATAGTGTTGATAATAATAATAATCGTAGTAATAAGGGAAAAGTACATAGAATAACTAAATAAACAAAATAAATAAATGCCCATCCCTCTACGGCCAAGGCAGATTTAGGGATTGTACATACTTCTTTTGTAGGTTACTTCTTTCACTTATCTGGGGAGCATTGTCTCAACCACAGGAGGAACGGACGAGGATGTCAAATCGAGAATCGGGAAGGCGAGAAACACATTCATCAACCTGAAACCAATCTGGAAATCTTCGTCACTCACCATCAACAACAAAATTCGGATTTTCAATACAAACGTCAAGTCAATTTTGCTTTACGGATCAGAAACTTGGCGGGTCACCAAGAATATTTTCAACAGGTTGCAGACCTTTATCAACAACTGTCTTCGCTCCATACTGAAGATTAGATGGCCGGAAAGAATCACCAACAAGAAGCTGTGGGAACAAACGAAACAGGAACCGATCGCCCAACAAATATGCAGGAGGAAGTGGAGATGGATTGGACACTCGCTGAGGAGGCCGTTGAGTGACATCGCGCGTCAAGCCCTCGAGTGGAACCCGAAAGGGAAGCGGCGAGTGGGACGTCCAAGGGTGACATGGAGGAGATCGTGTGAGGAGGAGATGAAACAGTATGGAATAACATGGACGCAAGTGAAAAGAACAGCAGAAGACAGAAGCAAGTGGAGACGTGCAGTTGAAGCCCTATGTTCCACTAGGAACCCAAGGGAACAATAATAAATAATAATAATACTTCTTTTGTACACAAAGGTCTGGCTGGCTTAAATTAATGAATGGCCAAGACCTCCGCTGTCTTTAGAAGTCTGTAACGACGAAAACGCGGCCAGCAAGTTAGCATGGATTCTATATATGATCTTAAAATCATGGTCAGGGTTGGTATGGAGTGACAGAAGTCGATCAGGTGTTGCAGAATAGAACACTTCGCACACACTTCCTTTCTCCCTTGTAAAACCATGCTGCTGGAATATGTTCTCGTATCCGTGTGGTGGAAAGCGGCATCGTCTGACTACGGCCAATGTACCTTGCTTCACAAGAGAGGCTCACGTGAACTGATAGATGCACATGGAGGTGGCCAGACAGGGGGAGCTTATCTTTTACAGAGGTAGAGAACGTAATGTGTGAGGCTAGTGAACGTCATATGTAATTTTGCTGCATAGAACGTCTTACTGACTGATTTAGAGAGACAATTTTTGAGCAATTACTTGTGAAACGACTAAAGAACTAACTAATGTTTCTGTTAGCAAGAAACTTAATTAATAAAGTGAGATATAAAAGTGATAATTATTTACAAGCTTAATTTCACCTCTGAGTAAAAAGAGAGATATTTATTCAATGTTTCAATATTTACCATATTGTATTCTTTGTTTCTATGGTAACAGGAGCAGTTAAAATCCTCCGAAATCAAGCAAACGTAGACTTCAATCTTTTAATGGCTGGTAAATTGACCCTGGAAGAGACGAATAAAGTTCGTCGATGTGCCATTATGTCTGCAGTTCGCCTACCATTATTTATGCAAGACAAAGAAAAATATTTGGCTAGTTTACGTACAATAGCTCGGTTAAATGGGATTAAAATTTTAGAACAAAACCAAGTGTCAAAAGCACCAAGTTCTGTGTGTTCGCGTTCATCAGCTCCTGTAAAACTTTCACCGCTGTCTTCAACAAGTTCAGTAAGAACTAATGATATTTTTAAAGTAAAAATAATAATAAATCCGTAAATATTTGTTTTGAAGGGTTTCTTTAATGCAATAATCTGACTTTATCCTTCTTTTCAAGTTGGCAGGAGAAGCATCCATAGAAGATAGGACTTCCTTCAGGTGGTGAAGATTCATGTCCAACACCAACGGCAACAACAACAGGTAGCAGTCAGCCAGCAGAAATGGGAGGAACCTGAAAGAAACAACCTCCTTCACCTACCTATCTACCTACCTACCTACCTGGGAGGCATCGTTTCAACTACAGGTGGACGGAACTGACGAGGATAGCAAAGCATCGAGGATCTTTGGGAAATCAAGACAAACCTTCATTACTCTCAGCACTCAGCATGAAAATGAAATTAAGATCCAGATTTTCAACTCCAATGTGAAGTCAGTCAGTGACACTTACTATGCGGATCAGATACTTGGCCAGTGCGTCATGGAGAGCACCTCAAACAAACTACACACCTCCATCAACAGCTAGCTGTCTTCGCTCAATAACACTCAAGATCAGATGGCCGGCCGGCCAGAAAAGATCAGAAACAGAGAGGGATCTCTGGTAATGAGAGAACCAACACAGCAGGAACCGATTGTGCAACAAATAAGCGGGAAGAAATGGAGGTGGATTGGATTGTGGCCATACTTTGAGTAAACAAACCATCAAGTGAGTGACATCACTAAACAAGCCATTGCTCGAGTGGAACCCGAAAGGGAAGCGGCGAGTTTGTCTTCAGTATAAGGGTGACTCAAAATAACACCAATAACCTTGTTCTGGTGAAATTGACTAATTCACGCATTTTTGGTCAGAAAGGCACCTATTGGATTATCAAATTCAAAAATCTTTTGGAAATCTCGGATACAATGGCTGTAATTAGCAACTCATCCTCTCATGAAGGTGATACATCAGCAATACCTGAAGTTATTTTTTTGTGGGGGTGGGGGGCAATCAATCATCACACTGATAAAATCTGAAAGAAAAAACGATAAAGCTTCATTTTTCAGAACCTTCTGTCAGTAGAATACACAACAGAATCTTACAAGAGAGTTAGGTTAGTCGAATGCTAAACTCGTAAGATTTAGATATGATAGAGAATATTTGTAGCTCAGGTGGATGATTTTGATGTGGTTGTGTTCTCTGAGCTGAATAGTTAATTTGCGAAGCTTCCATCACCCTGCTAGGCAGGCGACATCTTCCTTCAGCGCATACTTCAATTTGAAGTGAGCTTTTAGATTTATCCACGAGTTTATTAATCATCTCTCCTGGTCGGTCACCTTGGAAGTGATCAGTTGTTTTTGTGTGTTTTCACACCATCTAGGCTACTTATATCGCCATTGGAACTGATTGTTTCTTTGACTTGAACTTCGACCCTTTGTGTGTGTGAGGTTTCTATCTTATCGGCTGATAAATTTTGTCTATCTCGATGTGTCTATTGATTGATGATTCACTGGAATGCCAAGTAGGCTTGTAAAAATTCTCTAACATTCTCGGTGTTGGTTCCTCTGTCTAATATTTGAACATTGGTTTGGTTGTCCCAGTCGAATTGATGTCCATGGTTGTCTGTATGCAGTGAGGCAATATGAGTGAGTGAGGGATTGGATGTCATGTCTTTTGACAGCTAGCTTATGTTCGTGCATACGAAGACGAAGAGGAGGGATGTCCACTTTGGCCAAATTAGTTAGTGTTGTTCGCAGTTGATACAATCTATTTTGTAGATGTTGTTGGTTTTGTCTTCTTTCGCTGTTCAGTATTTTGGTTGACATAGAATTGAGTGAAGTGACTTTGTTGGCTTGTGTACGACATCAATTCCTAAAGGTTTGAAGAGTCTTACAGTGATTTCTGAGATATCCTTTATATATGGCAGGGCGACTTTCTTTGTGCTTTCCTTGGTGGCTTTTGGTTTGATAGGTTGGCTTGGGGGCATATATCTTTTGATGAAATTCCGCGGATATCCATCCATTCTTTTGGAGGACGTCCATGAGATATCTCTCTTCAGTTTTCCTTAAGGTGGGAGTGCTGCAATGAGTCCTGGCTCTCTTGAACACTATTCCACTCAAAATTTTCAAGAGGAGTTTCAATTTATTACAGCAAGTAAATTTGTGACAAAGTGTTAGTTAGTGTTTACGTACAATAGCCCGGTTAAATGGTATTAAAATTTCAGAACAAAACCAAGTGTCAAAAACACCAAGTACGCTGTGTTCACGTTCATCAGCTCCTGTAAAGTGTCACCACTGTCTTCAACATGTTCATTACGAATAATGATAATAATAAATTCTTAAATGTTTGTTTTAAAGAGTTTTTAATGCAATAATCTGAGGCAGGGAGGCGTCTTTTCAAGAACTTCAATCAACTGGTTCCCTTGATAAATTTTGATAAAGAAAGGAAGACGAAATTTGCAGTATAAAATGATATCATCGTCATTCTATTTCACAGGTTCTCATCAGCTGCACACCCCTACCTGAAATTACAATGGTTATATATAGATGATAATAACATACTTTAATGTTTGAGTAGTAGCAGAGAAGAGATAAAATTGACGCATCCACATATTGTTGATACCGGACATCTCGTAGAGATTTCTAAGTCCTTCAAAATATTAAATAGACAAAGGACAGCAAATTTACTACGAAGCGATTTGCCGAAGCGATCGCAATCAAACGATTTAAACCAACCAGACTTTTGCATACAGAAAGAGAGTGTGTTTGATTAAACTCTCACTGCCTTGGTAATTGAATTTTGATTTTGATTACATTAATTACATTAATTAGTCATCTAATTCAGTGAGTGATCTCAACTCACTGAACAAATCTTAATCTCATAAACTGTAACCGGCTTTGTTTTTTGGAGTTGCTATGCGAACAAGCTGCAGGCTAACACTGTTCTGTTAATTAACAATTGTTTTCTGTTTTCTGTCTTACCCCTCCCCCCTCCCTCTTTTCAACTTTGAAAGTGTATAAATTGATGATGATAACTTTAACTAAAAATTGTAATGCTTTCATCCTTTTTTGGATGCGTCAATTTTATCTCTTCTCTACTACTACTCAAACATTAAAGTATGTTATTATCATCTATATATAACCATTGTAATTTCATCAAGTAGTCTGCAGCTGATGAGAACCTGTGAAATACAATGACGATGATATCACTTTATACTGCAAATTTCGTCTTCCTTTCTTTATCGTAATAATCTGACTTTATCCTTCTTTATTTACGTACTTATAGTGGAAGGATTGACTCTGACTGGACAGTGTGGTTTCAGTCAATAGACCAAAGTGGTTAATTCGATTGAAAAGAACAGGAAATTCAGCAAAGTTGGCAATCTTTTTTGGGCGATTTCATTCTCGAAAGCAGCTGTACAATCGCATTTATTATATAGATTAGTTTACATGGATACAATTATTATTTGAATAAGTAATGCATTTAGAAGAAGACAAATTTCGCCGCGAGATGATATCGTCATTTCGTAGTTTCGCTACAACCGCTTTACACAACTAACATGGTCGGTTAACAATAGTAAAATAAAATAAAGTTCACATGACAATTACTCAATTATATAAGACAAAACAAAAGTACATACTCTGCTAATGACCAATCATCACATTTAAATAGACCAAGTAGTCAGTCCATGGTAGGCGAAGGTTGAAGTCTATTGTTTTGACTGTACACACACGGTTTAGCCTGTATGTGATTCATCTCCGAAGAGTGCTTCCATCACATTCAATAACCGACCTTGAATTAGAGTTATGTGATGAAATAATTGTGAAACAGTCATGAATTAATATTGATTGATTTTGTGACCTGACATTAATAAGTGTTTTGCAATGGATGATGACGCAGGTGGATTTCTATTCAGATTAATGAATGCATTGGTGGGATTTTCTATATGATTTAGTAACCATTTTGGAACATGTTCTTTTCGACCACGACATTGGAACATTCTATTGGTTCTACACCTATATAGGTGTGTGTCACTGCAACAACTGCAGGTGAACTGCTTAGATACAGTTTGAAGTAAAGTCCACAGAATTTCGTCCTTTAATCGTGGGAACAGGGATCGAAAATTGTTCGGCATGTGAGGGAAAGAGATGCGGTGGCGTAGGATGTGCGTTTGATGGCTGACCGAAGTGTCTTTGAGCTAGGTGTCACAACTGCATAATCTGGTCACCCTTGAATGGTAGGTAGGTTAATAAAGACAGATAGCTATCTTTGGTACAGAAGCTGCCTTTTCTACATGTGGTTTTTCGTTACTGTGACAAGTGATAAACTTCTCCGAATAACCACATAGTAACAAAGGAAATAATACTTTTCAACTTGATGTGAAAGTTCAAAGGTATGAATACGGATTGCAAGAGGCTTAGAGTTAAGATTCCATAGGATTAGGATGGTTCCTGTATGTTGAATCTACAAGCTGAACAAACTGTGCCTTAATTTTAGCATACAAACCATGAGGATAGTGGAAAAAGATACGTAAATACGTATTAATAAGAGCCAATGCAATAAACGAACCAGAAAATTACGTATTTTAAATCAGGTCCCAAGCTTTCGATTACAGTTGACTGCGATAATATGTCCCATTTCACGTTGCATAATTTCTACACACACCCAAAACACGTTCAAAACTTGATACATCAAATAGTCTTCATGATGACCACGATGTAGGGTTGGGCAAGGGTTGAACATATTTCTTCTGGATACATAGCATGGGTTTGAGCTTTTCGATGGCTAGTGCCTCGGCTATGCTCAGATGTCTTAATTTCACTCCTTTTGATAGGTTTGATCGAATCTTGTATATTATTTTGAAGGATTTCTCGAATGTAGCTGAATGTCCTCAATTGACCAGATGTTCTGTCACTGAACTGTATACACACACGTTTTCGTTCTCCTCTTACTAGCGAGGCTGTACTCAGCTCCACCAGAGAGCAAGTGAACTGGTATATTCACGTTGAATTGGCCCAATGCGACAGCTTGTCTTTCGCGTTCTGGCTGATGAACAGTTTCTTGCAGGAAAACGTCAGTCGTAGGCTCGCGGCGAAGTATGTCTTCCTCAGAGATTTACAGAGGCGTTTACGAAGGATTTCTGCTTCAATGTCACCTTTGAATTCTAGATTAAGCAGAAGTATCTTCTTCGGGACGGATTGAACTTGTTCGGAAGTCTTCTTTGATTTTAGATTCTTGTCTATGAACCTGGGCGGAAAACCGTTTTCCATCAGGGTTCTTCGGCGATTACGCAGTTCTTCATCAATCACCTCCTCGCTGCATATCATCCGAATCCTCGAGGAAAGAGCGTATATCAGATTCCTCTTTCTGCTTAGGGGCACGAAGTTTCGAAAGTTGGTGAATTGTCCAGTCCATGTAGGCTTTTTGTAAATGGACCTTTTCGGAGAAATGTTGGCGTTTCTTGTCAGATAGAAGGTCGAGGAAGTGGAACATTCCGTCGGATTCGGCTTCAAGAGTAAAGTCGATGTTTTTTGATGGGCATTGCTGAATGTTTGAAGTAAGTTTTCAAGGTGCAGGTTCTCATCACAAATGATGAAAGTATCATTAATGTATCTCTTGTAGAGATAGAGGTCGTTGGTAGTTGATGAAAAGGGGTTAATTTCGAGGCTGGCCATAAGGCAGTCCGCTAGAAGGGGTTCGAGTGGAGAGCCCATTGCTACGCCACCTACTTGGGTGTAGATTTCATCGTTGAATCTGAAGTAGAGGAAGACATATTTCGCCGCAGGACTACGACTAACGTTTTCCTACAAGAAACTGTTCAGCCAGAATGCGAAAGACAAGCTGTCGCATTGGACCAATTCAACGTGCATATACCAGTTCACTTGCTCTCTGACGGAGCTGAATACATTGACCGTACTATGCGCCAACTTACTTGAAAAACGCACTCATCAACACTATCCAGCCTGGCTGGTAAAAGGAGATCGAAAACGTGTGTATATAGTTCAGTGACAGAACATCTGGTCAAATCAGGACATTCAGCGCCATTCGAGAAATCCTTCAAAATAATTTACAAGATTCAATCAAGCCTATCAAAGGGTTGTGAAATTAAGACATCTGAACATAGCCGAGGCACTAGCCATCGAAAAGCTCAAACCCATGCTATGTATTCAAAAGAAATATGTCCAACTTTTGTCCAACTCTGCCTGCTGTGATCATCATAAACAGTATTGGATGTGTCAAGTTTTGAACGACTTATCGGTGTGTGTGTGTGTGTGTGTGTGTGTAGAAATTATGCATCGTGAAATGGGACATATTATCGCAGTCAACTGTAATCGATAGCTTGGGACCTGATTTAAAATACGTAATATTCGTTCACTGGTCAAATTTTGTAGAATCTCAAAAGCATGAACCAGAAAATGTTTACACATGATAAAAAATGACGGACTTCAGATGCATTTATAAACAGAGAATGAAGATGTGGTGAGAGCTGTCTGCTAGCCAAACTGGTAGACAGTAATTTAGGTCAATGTTTATGTCCCGAATATTATTGATCATGAGAAAAGAAGAACAAGAACAAAGACTGACTGACTCAACCAACAACCAATCACAGCACATTTTGTTTGCGTAGGCGGATACAATTAGCAGATAGCGATGATCTGACCTTCAAGAAACAGTCACAAAGAGAAACAACCAATCAGAAGACTGCGTTTGTCTGCTAACAATAATCTATAATAATGCACGTGAAAATCGATAAATATGTATTGATTTCCTTAATAAACCATCTGTTGCCTGGCCCTTGTCCTCTGTTGATATATATATATATATATATGTATGGAAGGCAGTTCAAAATAGAGTTTCAAGTGAAGGCACCTGCTGGTTAACTAATCTCTCTCTCTCTCTCCTATTCTTTAGTTTCTCACTCACAAGCCTATCAACCAGTCGTCAGCTAGTAGAACTTCACTTGGAGAAAAAAAAGATGATAAGAAATGCGATAAACCATCTATCCCGTACAATCGATCATCAAATATGCAAACACCATCCGAAAAGATTCAACTGTCACCAGCATCCACCGAACTGTCAGCTAATCTTTCCAAATTAATAAAATCAAGCAAAAAAAAACAAGACCCTGAAGAGGCCATCTCACCTACAAAACTCAACGGCGGTACTTCACTTCATAGCCGTATGAAAGGTAGACTTTTAAAGTCGCTGGACAGATTTGAAAATACACGAAATGAATTCAGCAATGCATTGACGTTTATCGGAAATAAAGACTGTGCGGAGAAATCGAAAAAGCACAAGTATCGATTACTTTCACGTAGTAGTCATAGTAGTACTGCGCTATCCAAACAATCCACTGACAACAATCAACCAATTCACAACAACAATGGTGGTGTTGACAACTTTGAAAATGGTATAAAATTTCTACCCAAAGGTGTTTGCGGTTGTCAACTGTTTACGCATGGTTCTTTTAAGTTCCCAGTGGAAAATACCGTGGTGGTGACCGATGAAAATCCTAATTGTACTGCGTCTACTGCGAATGGTATTGATGAGGAGAAAAATGGTATGGACAATAACCCGAATTGTTTAAACAATATCAGGGTACCTGTAGTGCTGGAAATTGATCTACGGCATCCAGTGGTTGGATTATAGGATCGATTTAATTTAATCTATGGATTAATCAATTAATTCATTAATTCATTCATTAACTAGCCGTTAGTTAATTAATGGACAGTGTGGCTTTCGCTTAACATCTCTCTTTTGCCCTGGCAAATTTTCTCTGATTGGCATCCCTGCATCATCTCTTAGTTCGTATAAATTCAAGCCATTTACAACAACAACCAGCAACATATTACTCAGTAAAATCAGTTTGCAAGGCGGTCACAAGACAGTAAAAGTGCGAAAGGTGTGTTCGAAAACACTTATTTTATGTACACACTCTGTAATTGCCAATTCATAAGACTGAAGCATAATTTATTCTTAGTTGAGTATCCATATTATTATTATAATTATTATTATTTTATTTTTCAACAGTAAATATTCCTAACAACAAGTCTCCTCTTTTTATTTTTGCAATTTTATTTCGTGTTCCAATGTTTTGCGTCGGTGGCATAGCGGTTAGGATGCTCGCCGGCCATGCACATGGTCCGGGGTTCGATCACCGGACACCGACGCACTCCTTTACCTCGCTAAGCCAGAAGTAATGCTGGTTAATAGGAAAGGTTGGGCATGAGGTGGCTAGCAACCCCATCCTGTAAAATAAACACTACTACAGAAACTTCAAGCCACTAGCTTGAAGCCCTATGTTCCACTGGGGAACGTGAAGGAAAAAAAAATTACAGATAATCAACTAATGACGAGATAATTAAGGTGGACATATTTTCGATTTAGTCACGAGTCAGATATTTAGTCAGCGAACCGGTGATAAAAGACAAAAATAATTCAGCAAAGAATATCCTTTTCGATAAATTCCCCCTCTTCTCGCTCTACAATTATATCTATATATGCATGTTTATATACATAGAATATTCTAGATTAGTAGTCAATAACAATATCAGTGTGCGCTTTTTAAATAATATCGATTTGTAAAGTGAGATCACAATGGAATTACCACAGTTCATTAAAGATGCTTAAATTTAAATAATAACAATAATAATAATAATAAAGATATAGTAGCAAATAGAATATCAACTAAAATTAGGAAAATTCCACAAAAATTCAGGATCATTCAAACCTAGATGCAAGCGGATAATGTGCTATTGTGGAGTGAGCCAGTTAGTTGCATAGGCCGTACGATTAGACGTGTTTGTCGTCGAATTTCCGAACATCACCCACCCTGCACAATGGTTGATTGGTTAGGCAAAGGACAAACAAAATCTATTCGCAGCTCTATTCTATCTCACTCATCTTGTGGATACACAACACAAGACTGATTGATGTTAACCAGGTGGCTTTCAGGTCATTTACCGCATACCAGCAACAAATCTCAATTTCGCCTTAACAGTTCGACTACTAAATATTGCTGAGGCTGGCTGGCTGGCCGTGTTGGGATCCATATTAACAAGCCTAATTTGTGCATCCAAAAGAAGTTGGTTGGTTCAGACATTATCCTTACCCGCTTGGCCATCTAGGTTTGAATGATCGATCCTGAATTTTTGTGGAATTTTCCTAATTTTAGTTGATATTCTATTTGCTACTATATCTCTCTTATTATTATTATTATTTATTATTATTTAAGCATCTTTAATGAACTGTGGTGATTCCATTGTGATCTTACTTTACAAATCGATATTATTTAAAAAGCACACACTAATATTGTTATTGACTACTAATCTAGAATATTCTATGTATATAAACATGCATATATAGATATAATTGTAGAGCGAGAAGAGGAGGAATTTATCGAAAGGGGGATATTCTTTGCTGGCTCAATTATATTTTGTGTTTTATAGATAGATGTCTGAATGAATATTTTTGCTATATTGAAACTAGTGATAATACAAAATCGGAAGGGGGGTGGGTACTGAAAGGGGATATTTCATCCGAGTTTGTGGGTCTTCATCAGCCCACATCCACAAAAGGTTCGGATCCACGAGTGCTTGTAGCTACAAGGTGATCTCGTTCAGTAGTTCCAGTCACTGGGAATCGATCCAATGAGATCTATGGATTCCTACGCCTACTAATTCACAACATATATTCAGTGAAATCGCCAAACAGTATCATAGGCGAGTAACACTATCCTCTACTAGTTACGACTTCTTGCTGAAAAGTCACAGACCAAAACGAAACAGCTGTCCAGTACTCCCTGGTTTTACACTGCTTCTCTAACTAATATTAGCTAATGGGCAAACGTGTAACCAATCAAATTCCTGCAGATTAACTCTTCGGAAAAAAACACGTATTCCACCAAAGTTGTTACAGTCTATGGCGGTCAGTTTATTATATCGGGCTCAGAATTGTGTAACAGATAACTAACTAACTAATGTGGCTAGTAAGAGACTTAATTTTTTTGACCTTAGGAAAGATTCACAGGTCAAGAAACAGTAGTCGATTCCTGAGACAGGAAGACAGGAAGTGAGACATATAAGAGAAGCCTCGAAACTTAATAATTACCTTGATAAATTAGTCAGAAAGTATGTAGGACGCTTGCTGACTGTGCACATGGTCCGGGGTTCGATCACCGGCCTACGCACTCCTTTACCTCGCTAAGCCAGAAGTAGTGCTGGTTAATAGGAAAGGTTGGGCATGAGGCTAGAAACCCCATCCTGTAAAATAAACACTGCTACAGAAACTGAAAGCCACTAACTTGAAGCCCTATGTTCCACTTGGGAACGTGAAGGAAAAAGAAATTACAGATAATCAACTAATGACGAGATAATAAAGGTGGACATATTTTATGCTTGGCACGAGTCAGATATTTAGTCAGCGAACCGGTGATAAAACACAAAAATAATTCAGCAAAGAATATCCTTTTCGATAAATTCCTCCTCCTCTTCTCGCTCTACAATTATATATATGCATGTCCGTTTATATACATAGAATATTCTAGATTAGTAGTCAATAACAATATCAGTGTGCTTTTTAAATAATATCGATTTGTAAAGTAAGATCACAATGGAATTACCACAGTTCAATAAAGATGCTTAAATTACTTATAATAATAATAATAATAAAGATATAGTAGGAAATAGAATATCAACTAAAATTAGGAAAATTCCACAAAAATTCAGGATCGATCATTCAAACCTAGATGGTCAAGCGGGGTAAAGATAATGTCTAGTCTTGTGGAGTGAGCCAGTTAGTTGCATACGCCACACAATTAGGCGTGTTTCTCGTGAGATTTCCGAACATCACCCTGCACAGTGTTTGGTTAAGCAAAGGTCAAACAAAATCTATTCTACCTCACTCATCTTTTGGATACACAACACAAGACTGATTGATGTTCACAAGGCGACTTTCAGGGTCATTTGCCGCATACATACGAATCTCAATTTCGCCTTAAGAGTTCGATTACTAAATATCGCTGAGGCTGTCTGGCTGCTGAGATCCATATTAACAAGCCTAATTTGTGCATCCAAAAGAAGTTAGTCATTTCGAACATTATCCTTACCCGCTTGGCCATCCAGGTTTGAATGATCCTGAATTTTTGTGGAATTTTCCTAATTTTAGTTGATATTCTATTTGCTACTATATCTTTGTTATTATTATTATTATTATAATTTAAGCATCTTTAATGAACTGTGGTGATTCCATTGTGATCTTACTTTACAAATCGATATTATTAAAAAAGCACACACTAATATTGTTATTGACTACTAATCTAGAATATTCTATGTGTATAAACATGCATATGTGGATATAATTGTAGAGCGAGAAGAGGAGGAATTTATCGAAAGGGGGATATTCTTTGCTGGCTCAATTATATTTTGTGTTTTATAGATAGATGTCTGAATGAATATTTTTGCTATATTGAAACTAGTGATAATACAAAATCGGAGGGGGGGGGGAGTACTGAAAGGGGATGTTTCGTCCTAGTTTGTGACTCTTCATCAGCCCACATCCACAAAGGGTTCGGATCCACAGGTGCTTGTGGCTATACAAGGTGATCTCGTTCAGTAGTTCCAGTCACTGGGAATCGATCCAATGGGACCTATGGATTCCAACGCCTACTAATTCACAATATATATACAGTGAAATCGCCAAACCAACAGTAAATTCTTTTGGAATTGTGAAACAACTAACTAAATAACTAATGTTGCTGCTAGCAAGAAACTTAATTTCTTTGACCTTAGGATAGATTTACAGGTCAAAAATAATGTAGTCGATTCCTGAGACAGGAAGACAGGAAGTGATACACATATAAGAGAAGCCTTGAAACTTAATAATTATCCTGATAAATTAGTCAGGAAATATGTAGGGAAATGTAAAAATAAAATAAATAATGACAGTAGTGATGATTATATTAAAGACGAGACGCATATCCAATCTGCGCATAAGAGCACCAACAATAAGGAATCGAAATCATCAGTAGTAATTCCATACAAGGAAGGAACCTCGGAAACCACCTTACGCAGAATTCTTAACAAGGCTGGCAGCAATAAAAGTGGCTGGAATTCACAAACCAACCACAAACTCAATTAGAAACAAGCTTTATCAGTTGAAGGATCAATCCTGCCAGTGGAGCCTTTAAAACAAAACAATTCAGTTTATGGAATATACACATTTGGGTCATAGGAGTTAATAAAAAGACAATTGCAGCGAAGAAAATTTTCTTTTCGACGAAGTCATCATCTAGGCTGTACATTCGTGTATTTATATCAAATGGATAGGAAAGTTCCAGAATAATTTCTGGTTAGGGGTCAAATTAATAAAAAATTACAATTAGGAATTAAAATGACATAAAAAACAGGGGGATGGGTAAAACTCGAACAAAGTGGCATTATAATAACTAAGAAGATTGACATTGTGTAATTGGGGGTTAGAAATGTAGAAATAACAAAATATACATGATGTTTGGATAAAAAACGAGTGTGATGAATGATTGTTTATGCAATCAGGGATTAAATATGTAGAAATACTAAAATGACAAAATAAACAGGAAGAGTGGGTATGAAAATATGGTAGTGTAAACAGGGTTTAAGAAAACTTAAAATAACATGAATAAACAGGAAGTTTAGATAAGAAAGGTGATGAGATTGTCATTACTAAAAAAAAAATTTACCTGTTTATGATGGCCATGGTAGGGAGAGGGATTGGACGTAATTCTTTTGGATACAAAGTGTGGGTTTGAGCTTTTGGATAGCTAGCGCCTCAGCTATGCCCAGATGTCTTGATTTGATTCCCTTTGATAGGTTTGATTGAATTTTGTATATTACTTCGAAGGATTTTTCGA